AGATAGATAGATAGATAGATAGATAGATAGATAGATAGATAGATAGACAGACAGACAGACATAGACATAGACATAGACACATACATACATACATACATACATACACACACACATATATATATGTATATATATATACACACAGAGAGAGAGAAAGAGAGAGGGAGAGGGAGAGGGAGAGGGAGAGAGAGACATAAAGCAATAAGTTTCCATTGCATTTCTACAAGTACCATTTTGCCTCTTTTGACTCCCACTGTGGACATAGGTGTCCAAAATTACAATTTTATAGGGACTGAGGGAAAATCAAATTTCTTTTAGGAAATGCCTATGTTGAATCACCTTAAAATGTCATTCATTTCCCAATATCCCATCCCACTGTCAAAAACCATGGAGATTTTTTTTAATGTTATTTAATTTTTACTTTGTCACTAATAAACCTTGCGGGGGGGTTAATATTAGGTCTGATGCTGAAAAAAAGTATGATTCCCATTACTAAAGAATGATGGATTCCCTATATTGTTATAAATAAAAGAGGTAAGGGTTTCCCATGTCCAACTCAAAGGGGCAGTGCTCATAGCTGTTTTCTAGTTTTTTGAAGGTGCTTCATTTGGTCATTTGTCAAGCATGATTATACACCAAGACACACAGTACACTGTTAGCCTCCCACCAAAGTGGCACCTATTTATCCACTTGCATGTATATAGGCATTTAGCTCCCATTATTTTGATTGAACTTTTTCTACTTTTTCTATTTCTGGTGAATTTCATTATATCAAAAGTTTACGTTTTGTTTTTCTGACTTATTACCACCAAGGTCCATAACATTGTTTGCTTCAAAAGCAGCTAGAAAATAGTAGAAAACAATAGGAGGGATTTTTCTGCCAATTACTTAATTTTACTATTTCATTTTCTCATACAAAAATAAAATAAATAGAAGTGACATTTTATGAATATGTTACCTTTACAGGATACAAAGCTTATGTTTGATTCTGAATGACAATCACATAGCTGCAAGAAATACAAAATCTATTTATATTCATGAAAACAAGCTCTGACTGTGAATCTTAAGTATGTGACTACAATACATTTACATACACCCAAGGCTAACCATATATTTTGTGCAAATGTTTGTTACTAAGGCCTAATAATGAACTGAGTCTAGTCTTACTGATGCTTAAAGTAGATTTACTAAAAACAAGTAGATATATTTTAGTCATAATTAAGTTCTGATTATTTCAGTGGTTCTTTTACTACTTTTAGCAATAGCACTTAGACTTATATACTGCTCTATAATGCTTTATTGCACTTCTGGGCAATTTTACAAATGTTAGCATATTGCCCCCAACAATCTGGGTTCTCATTTTACCAACCTCGGAAGGATGGAAGGCTGAGTCAACCTTGAGCAAGTAAGAATTGAACTGCCAGCACTGGGCAGAGTTAGTCTGCCATATTTCATTCTAACCATTGTACCACCATGCCTCCTTAGCCTGCTTAAATTTGACAAATTTATTTTTAGATGAAAAGCAGCCTTAAAAGAAATAGTTTAAAAGTAGGGAAGTAACATAGGAAACAGTTCCCAATTCTTTTGCCTGTCTGTTGTTTTCCTAATTATATCACATCATGGGTTCCAAAAATTAACTCGGGCACATTTTAAAACTTGAGAAAGGAAACACAAGCAAAAAGCAAATTACCATGGCTAAATAACAAGTAGAGAAAAGATAAGTGTGCTTCTCTCCTTATCCCAATAGTTAATTTAACTCTCTTACTCCCAGCACTTTAAAAAAAGAATTTGGTTGTAATGTAACTTTAGTTTCTCAACTTAATCAAAAAAACTAATTAAAATCAAATAGTATTGAATTTATTTGGACTAATGCTGTGAGTCCTTGGTCAGATTCTAAGAGTTTATCATGCTCTGCAGAGGCTAGGTATTAGGACAGGCCAAACACCCAGAGACAGCAAAGGCTGGATGATGTATCTACAGATATTTAAAACATTTATATTTTTCATATTTTCTTACCAGACCTATGTCAACCTTCTCTTCTGGTACCAGTTCTTCTGTGCTTTCTCTGGGGCTTCTATGATAGACTACTGGCAAATGATATTTTTCAACTTGTTTTTTACATCTGTACCACCATTAATTTCTGGAGTTCTGGATAAAGACATTTCTGCAGAAACCCTATTGAACATTCCTGCACTTTACAAAAGTGGACAAAATTCAGAGGTAAAACTTTTTCAAGAATATCCCATAATATAACAGGTTTCATGGTGTAGCAAAATAAATATCCTTTCTAAAATAGATGTTGGTTGGATTCATATGCTGCATAAATTCATGATTTGTTGCATGTCGTCAATTTTCAGTTTAGCAATTCCCTCATTAAACAACTGTATTCCATTGCACCTTTTAAAAACATTTTTCCCATGAATGGATGAAAAAAATAGGTTGAAGACAACAATTTTTTATAGAGGAGTGTTCAGTGTTTTCTTTTATCATTTTTCATCGATCTAAGCTATTGTATGAAGTCTTATCTATCACTAAGAGAAAAAATGCAACTCATTCCATTTTTAAATACATTGATTCTCATTTTATCAAAAATCTCCAAAGCATAAAATAAGCACAGGTACAAATTGATACAATAAGTGCAATAAAATGTGTCAACAAGTTAAGGTGCTAGTTCAACAATTTAGTTATGACTAAATTATAGAAATCCAGGAAACAAGTGGGAAAATCTGTGTCTTTTAACTGATAGCAAAAAAAACTCCAAACCAAGAACCCCACATACATTCACAGAGAAGATTATCCCACACTAAAAAAGCCATAATCCTTCATGAAGAATGTCAGCAAACTATAGTATGGTCTTGAGGATATTCTTCCCTGGATTTAAAAATGATTGTTCATATAACTTGGCTTTATGCTTGTCAATCAAAATAAAATTTGGAAAGTAGCTTGGTAACCAAACAGCAGACAATACAGACTCCATTATACTAAAATTAACTGAAAAGGACTCTATAACCTAGTCTAAGTGTGGTTTATAAATCACCCTTAAGGGCAGAGACATGTTACAAAAGTCCAGTCTCCAGATAAAATATATTACAATATTCCACTGCTTGACTTATCCCTACCTTGAAAAAGTTACATAATCATAGTAATCAAAGCTGTAATATGTTGTGATATGCCATAGAAACTCATTAGGTAATTCTGGGGCCATCTTACCTTATCAGTTCAGTCTGTATTACAAGGTGGCTGATGTGGAGATAAATGGCAGGGAGATCTCCATGGAAGTTCCTTGAGTTCTGTGGAAAAGGTATACCACAATGTAATCAAAAATAATTACATTGGGAATAGATATTCTTGCCCAGAGAGGCTTCTTTGGACCTCTTATGATAGAGACATCCTTCAATAACCCAAGCTCCATGCCTTCTTCTTCCATGTAACTCCCCAGTGCTGTTCTATTTGGATAAAGATATAAGAATAAACAGAATTATCAGTAACAATTTAAAGTAAAACAATTTAAGGCACACCACATCTCCTCTAGTTTTGGTTGTGAAGGCAATGTCAGAGAATGAAACTGATGCATCCTGTCATTTACCACTGATTGGTGGCTTCCCCAGTGGCCATCAAGTTATAAGTTATATATCAAGAAAATGTACATGTTCTGAAATTCTCTATTCCTTCTGTGTCCAATTTGCTACAGATTTACAAACCTCTAACATTTTTCCTTGCTATCTTGGATGCCTTCTACCAGAGTCTCATTTGCTTCTTCATCCCTTATCTAGTAAGTGTTCAAATTTCAAAGTATCCCAATTTCTTTAAACCAGCCTTTCCCAGCCTGTTACTCTTCAGCTCATATTTGAAGCATATCAGACTTGAGAAGGCTGATTCATAAAACTCAGCATTTCTGTTTTGTATTTTGATAAGTCAATATTTTATCTAATTTACCAGGTATATCAGGATTCTGATACTGATGTTTTCGCTTTTGGAACAGTAGTCAACACTGGTGCCCTTCTTACTATTCTTTTTCACCAAGCTTTAGAAATTCAGATGTGGGTATGTATATAGTTTCAATAATTATCCCAGTTTGCTTGCTTGCTGATTGATTGATTGATTGATTGATTGATTGATTGATGAATGGAAACAATGACCTAGCTGTTAAGGTGACAGTCATGCACTTTTTGATACTATATTCGGGTGTCTGGCTATGAATCCCTCCCACTTTGGATTTCAAAGGATTTATTGTGTGACGAAAAAGTACTGAAATGCCAACATTTTCAGATAGTGTAATACACAAATTCAGAAATAGTATAACTGTGAGAGGGATCTTGGAGTCCTAGTGGACAATCATTTAAATATCAGCCAACAGTATGCAGCAACCAACAGTGTGCAGCAGTGGGCACAAATCAATGCAACCATAGTCTATATTAATAGAGGGATAGAATCAAGATCACATGAAGTTCTAGTACTGCTTTCTAAAGGTTTAGTAAGAATACTGCATCCAGATCTGGTCACCATAATATAATAAAGATTTTGAGACTCTGGAAAGATTGCAGAGAAGAGAAACAAAGATGATTAGGTGGCTGGAGGCTAAAACACATAAAGAACAGTTACAGGAATTGGATATGTTTAGTCTAATGAGTAGTAGCACTAGATAAGACCCCAGCAGTGTTATAATATTTGAAGGGCTCCTACAAAGATGAGGGGGTCAAACTATTTCCCAAAATACCAAAAGGCTTCAAGGCAAGAAACAATAGATGGAAATTAACCAAGAAGAGAAGCAACCTAAAACTAAAGATAAATTTCCTAAAGTTGAGAGCAATCAATCAATGGAATAGCTTGCTTTCGGAAGTTGTGGGTACTCCATCAGTGGAGGCTTTCAAGAGATTGAACAACCATTCATCTGAAATGGTATATGGTTTCCTGCTCAAGGAGGGGGTTGTCCCTTCCAACTCTATTATCTTACATTCTATGTTGCAAATTAAATAATGCTAGGCAATTATAGCTATTTAATTTCACACTTTTTCAACATTTCTCTACATAAAAGTATCATTTCCCTCATTTCTATCAGAAATATTTATGTATTTCAGTAAAACTTTCATTAATTATAAATATTATTGCTCATTGCAGTTAGAAAAGATTGCAGATAATTTTTTTGCTGAAAATGAAAGAAAGTTAAAGTTCTAGTCCTGTCTTAGGCACAAAGCCATCTGAATGATCTTGAGCCTCTCAGCCTTAGCAAAGCCACTTCTAAAAACTCTTTCCAAGTAAACCACAGAAACTAAACCAGAAACACTGACTCAAAAGTACAGTATACAAAAATGTAATAAATGTACAATATGGCTTGGAAACCAGTTGTCGTAGTCCTGACAGCCAGCCAATTCTCACAATAAATCAATGACTGGGGTCCTGGGTCCCTGCCTCTCCAATCGCTCTCCGACGTCTGGGGTGTGTGGAGAGAAACTCAGGCAGCTATGTCAGAGATTGGGAGATCCGGAAGAGAAACAGACTTGGCCTCCAGCCAGAAGCAAATAGAATAGCATAATTAAGGCTGGAGAACAACCCTCCTTGAATTCTAAAGCAAAGACACCAGCTCCTGGGGAAGAAAGAAACCCAGAAAAGTACTGGTGGGAAAAGAAAGTTCCAAAAGCTTCTGAGGTTGAGTTTCCCCATCCCCAGGCCCCAAAAGGGAGAAAGCCCTTGAGTGAACTGGGAAGAGTGGATTGGATGTGGGACTGGGCCCAGGCCAGGGCCCCAAAGTCCCTGATGGAATCCCCGGGGAGACCCATGGAGCAACCGGGAAATGCCAACATGTCAACTCCTAATAAATCAATCTTTTTTACTCTGAGAGATGCGGCTAGAGACTTATGATTTGAATGGGGGTGCATGTTGGAGTCCTGATGCCAGTATCCACACAAAGTCAACTAAAAAGCATGGTTTCTCAAATGCAACAGAAAAGATACTGCTCTTTCCCACCAGGCCCACGCTTGTCTTAGAAAGACCTGACAAAAACCATCAGAGTTAATTTCAATCTTTGACATCCCTCCATGCAGATTCCTCATTGCTGTATTTTTTACATTCAGACACCTTTTGTCTCCATAGAAATTGCACTGCCTCAGAATAAGATTGTTACTATGGCATTTCCTCTTTACATTCTCCTGATGTTCTGCACCATCACATTCCTAGACAGGGATCACAGCTAAAAGGTTTATTGCTCTAATTGCTTTTCTTCTCGTCTGTTCACAGACCCTGTTCCATGGAATTGCAATAACTGGGAGCATTTTGCTCTACTTCATTTTCTCATCCATCTACAATGCAACCTGTGTCCTTTGTAACCATCCCTCAAATCCCTACTGGATTATGGAGATGGAATTTTCGGAGCCAAACTTTTATTTCACAATCATTATTATGCCAGTGGTAGCACTTCTCCCAAGGTTTGACCAATGGTTTTTTTTCTTACTTGTTCTTGTATGAAGTGCCACTCAATAACTAGATTACCAGATGGAAGATTACAAAATTTGATTAAATGTTGTCCCAGGAAACAGAAAACCTTATCTCTTATTGTATTATTTAAGCAAGGCCTTAATTGGATGTTGTAAGTAAGGCATCCGGTACCATGTAAAGTCTGATTTCCAGAGAAAGGTCCCAGCAGACATACCCTTATTAGTCTGGGTTTGTCCCCATTCTCCACAAAATCTGCCAGCCAGTTCCTTGGTATAGCTGTCATTTTATGGAAGGGAAGCTTAAAAACCCTTGACAGTCCACATGCTTTAATGCAGTATAACTTTCTCTGTACAGTTTGCGGGAATTGAGTTGACATGCCTTGCTAGAACATAAAGGCTTTGTTGTGTTGTGTGATGCCTTCCTTTTTTCTCTCTCTCTTTTGAGAGGCAATTCTTGAGTGCTTCAAATAATAAAAATATGTTTCCATGTTAAGCTAGTGCCACAGCTCAGACTTCTCCAGATCCTTCGAAATAGCACAAAGATCGACCTTAACAGCCAAGGTCTAAGGGTTAAGAAAATAATTCCCCCTGGAAGCCTTATTTTTCATGAGTCCCACTTTAATCTCTTACTACAAAACACACATTGATTTGGGGGAAGAACATTTTAGCTTGTTTCCATAGCATTGCATTCCTATGAATTTTCTGTAAAATGGTAAGTTTTTTGTTTATTGTAAAATTGATATTCAGACTGAGGTGCCACAGGAGTAGCTGCAATAACAGAAAGAAACTTGAATGAATGCATCCAAGTGTAATTATAAATGTTGGTTTTTAGTATTAACATGAGCAAGTCTAAATAAACTTCAGAGTTGTTCACTTTTTTCTTCTTCTTTCCTGATATAACTGTAAGAAGTTTCCTCTTCTTTTCATAACAAATCACTGATATCCAAATTCAGACAAAAGTATAGGTAATAATATGCATGGTGTCTGAAACAAGCCAACTTCAAAATGTAGTTTATGAAGCTGCCATATTTCAAAAAACAGAATAGGCCGCGTGTATATATGACTCTCCGAGACATTTGGGGGGACTGACAATTTCTTATCTTGCTATTGCTGCTGATTTACTGCTATTCTGTTCACTGCACTTGCGGCAATATTTCCTATGAGTCCCTGCATTTGTTGCCTTCCAGTTGTTACACTCGTGTTGTTTATAGAATGTAGGGTGCCATTAAGCTTCTTCTGCAGAACCAGGAGGAACCTTCTGCACATTTGTGTCTTTGGAATCAGTTGCATTTGGTTTGCTATCTTGCAGGGAGAAATGGGGACCAAAAAAAAAACCCCTCAGAAGTCACAGATCTCTTGAGTTGAGCCACAAAAAGAAGTGAAGATGAGCTAATCAAGGGCAGAAAGGACAGAAGAGTGATGGAGGACTTGGTAGAAGCTGTAACAGTTTAACATACCCTTCCCTGCAGTCTCATCCACACTAAGATAGCTGGAAAGGGAAAACCATGATTTCTGTTTATATCAGACAGCTATAGAGAAATACACTTATCATGAGCTATGATCCACAGACTGGCACTACTAAACCATTTTTTCTTGAAACATAGCAGCTTGCCTAACACTGTTGAGTGGCAGTTTGTTGCTGTCTATAATCACCAAACAAAACCCTAGCCCAAGAACAGGCAAACTGATATACTCTACATTCTGGATTGTATTCCCAAATTATCTTGGTATGTCTGAACTGATGTGAGTTATGCCTTATTTGTTTGGATAATACCAAGTTATCTATGCATCTTTAGCCATGGCACCACCTTAGCAGGTAGATGGAAACTACCTTTGTGACACATCTTTTATGACTCTAACTTTTGTAAAATTATGAGTTTCTTCATTCTAACTTTTGTTCCCTTTCTGTATCTTTGTGTGTACTTTGCAAAAAGTGTTTTTGGAATCCATACTGTATGTGTAGAATTTTGGAACTCTTCTCTGTAGCAAGTGGAACTTTTATATGAATGACTAACTAAAAACACAATGCACACTATATTTCATCTACCGTCTCCAAAATGAGTGAGAGTGATAGCTTGTTATTGCAAAAATAACTGTGTTTTTCTTTGCTTTCCTTAGATATCTTATATTGGCTCTGCAAGGGACTTTCAACATATCTTGCATCCTGAAAGCACAACAACTGGAGAAGTTGCCGAAAGAACAACAGGACTGGGAAATACAGAAATGGAAGCTGATAAAAGAAGGCCCGGCAATCCGCAGTAATGGTCCTAGTCAACTCAGTGGAAATATTTGTGATCACGCAGCACTTGGGCTTCCTGAGACCAATGTTCCTCAGGGCCTCAGGCCTTTGCAGAAAGAAATGCTTGAAGAAAGGACTTTGAATGAGGAAGCCAAGGACAATGCCAAAAAATGCACCCAAGAAGAGACTGGACAACTTACAGCTGTGGAGCCATTTGCTGGCCAAATCCCCCAGAACCCTGAAAGTTCTGCTCAGAGAAGCCATCAGAGGTCTGTGAGTGCAGTGACTTTATAAAGGAAGCACAACTTTCAAGGGGAAAAGTAAAAATTGACTGCTTTCCCAGCCTCACTCTCCACAAATAAAGGCAATGGAAGGAAAAATAGAATTCCTTTTTTTTATTACATAGCAGCAATGTCCAGATGGCAAACCTAAAATAAAATTTCATCAGTATATCGAGAAACTGTGTTTTGTCTGTATAGTACAAGACACCTTGGATGCATATGGCTACATATTTCTTGTGGGGGGGGAGGGTTCAAATAGCTTGGAGGACAATTACACAAGATTTCCTTTGTGGGGACTTAAAAATAGACAATATTTGTGGGGAAGGGCTGCTTTTTTTACCAATGAAATTTCAGAATCAGGCCACATTTCTGTCTTGTTGATGAATGGGAGTTATATAGCTTCAAAACTGCAACATCTTAGAGTAAAATGATCATGTTTAAAGATATAAAGAAATAAGCCATTTATCTAGATATTTTAAGTGGGAATCCAAAACTGTTTTGAGGGTTTTTTTTAAAAAAATCTGAAATATACTGTATGTACATATACATACATATAATATATAACATATGTTGCATATATGTATAGGTAAGACTGCACATGCCAAGTTGTTCTTTATTGGTCAGATAGTTGCTTAGTTCTTTTAGGTACCTAGCAACCTAGTGACCTAAGTCCATATTTGGAAGTAATGTTTGTTGATAATTCTGAGGCATTATCATCCAAGATATATATATTTAAGAGCTTTACCTCTACTTTGAATGGGATGTCAAGGAAGAAAGGTGGACCATTGATCAGGGGTCTAGAAAGCAAAAAGAACTCCTATAAAGAGAGTACGAAGGAACCAAGAAAAGATAAATCCTATGAAGAGAGACTGAAGGAAAGAAGCAAACCTGTTCAGCCTTGAGAAGACTGAAAGGGGCATAATAGCACTGGTCGAACAGCTAAAAGAATGTTACACCAAAGGAAGTCCAGATCTGTTCTCATATCACCCTGGAATTATGAATTTAAGCTGTGAGAAGGAAATTTTGGTTGAATGTTACAGGAAAAAGGAATTCCTAAGACCATTTCAATGGAGGGAGGGGAGGAGGGGAAGGAGATACATCTTTTCTCTAAACATGTCAAAGCAGGGCATGCTTTCATTTCCCACACTGAATAAAGGTTAGCTTATGTATTCCAAATAACCCTATTGTCTAGATTCATAAGAATGACAGCTGACTTCTCAGACTGGGAATACACATACTGTCATCTCAAGCAGAATCAATACAAGAGGTATGACTTCTGTCACATAAAGAAAAAGCATGTGTCCCAGACTCTTCTTAAGAAAAGGCCTGTGAGTTTTTTTAAAAAATAGGAAAATAGAGAAAGCTATTGCAAGAGTTCTGATAAAAGGTTGAAATTCCCATGCTGGAGAAGGTCCAGATGAAAACAGAGCTCTTTGTTTTGGGATTCTGAATACCCCTAAGCAAAAAAAGAAAACTTTTAAGCAAAAGCTGTATTAATTGCTAATTTATTCTGTCTGTGTTTGTCTAAGTTGAATATTATTTATATCTCTGCCCAAGTTCACAAATTTGGTTTGTCAAGATCATATTTTTTTCCTCTGATGAGAAATTATCTGAGCTTGGTTAAAAACTCAGAGCCTGGTGAGTTTAAAATGTAGTAGTACCATTGTTATAATTCCCTTTTAAAGTTGTTGGTGTCCAATGATTTGAGAAGCTCTGACTTTACCTCTTTCAAAATGTTAACATTTTAATATCTAATAATTAATAAGAAATTATAGTTAGTATCATATTTTAAAATAAACTTTGATTTTTTGTTTATATCTAGCATGTCTCCTAAGAAAGAGCTGCAACATCTTTTATATACAATCTTTCGTATTGTATAACCAGTAGGCAACATTATGGCAGTTATTTGGCTTTTTATTTGCCAGAAAGGCTACAAAATATGAGATTGGGAATCCTTTTTTTTCTCCAGCCGGGAAAAAGGCATTGGAAATAAAATGGAGGCTGGAGGATGATTGGAAAGAAAGATTCCGTTTATTGATGAAGCAAAACCACCAACCACATGTGATTTCAGGACAGCTGCTCAAAATGGAGTTGAGAGTGGATGGGTTTTTATACCTTCTTTGGGGCTTTGTATTTGAGCTTCCTGCTCCTCTGCAAGAACATGTCCTTTAATATTCTTGGCTGTTGTCAGATTCCTATGGGGTCATGGCTGGCTCTATAGGCAAAATGGGAAGTTCAAATCCTAGGTGCTTGTTTCAGCTAATTTTGTCAACCTTTTGTTTGTTGCTTATCTGAGTTTCTTGGCCCAGTCTTTCTGAATGGACTACCAAATCTGCATTTCTAAAAACTGACCTCCTCAGTTTCTGCTTGGGGCAGGGAGATTGGTGCTGGTTTCTGCCTCCCTTAAGATTTTTTAGAGGAAATTGTCTATCCTGCTTTTGTAAATATTTCTCAAAATATTTCATTTTTCTGGGATGGGGGAGCTCCTTGAGCAACCACAACTGTTGATCATTAAAATCAAGCCAAAACTTTCCCTTCTTTTCCCATTTTGCCTTTACATCACTATCATTTTGCCATCTGAAGGGTTCCTTTTTAGTGCAGGTTTTTTTCAAACCAGAAACAATAGTTGCTCAGTGTGCATTACACATGCACCCCTTTCCAAAAGTAGTTTCCAATTCCATAGCAAAGGTACCTTTTACAAAAAGTGCTGCTTAAAGGTGTTTATCACTTCCCTAACAAGTGTTAAAACAATAAACCAGTCGATTCAGACTAATAGCCAGGTGTAATCTAAGCATTTGGGGGCTCATAAATATTGATTTGTAGATCCAAGTATCATGGCAGCCAGCTGCTATGCCTACAGCAACAGAAACATTGTAAATATTTATCTCTTGGCTTGTCCTTTCTGAAACACTGGATAAAGAGCAACTAGAATAACTTTTTTTTAAATCCATTGCAAACATTCTGTTTTCTATTGATCTGGAAATATGGTGATGGATGGCAAAAAGAGAGCCATTCATGCTCTAGAGGCAGTTTTATTTTTTTTCTTTCAAAAGGAACAGTCCCACAGGGCTGATGTGTCATAGGCTGATGGATGGAGCTAGAGCAAGCCAAGGGTGATGATAGAAACAAAAAAGGTGGGACACTCACTGTCTCTCTCTGAAGCCCCCCATCTTGGGCTTTTTTCCCACTTGTTTCATAAAACTGATGAAGCAGCCTGCAGTGAAGGAATAGATTGCTCTTATTAGTGGCTTCAACTGAACTCTTGCAGGATGTATGAGTAGAAAAGAGGTGAGGTGCATACAATAATTCCAAAGAACACATTTGCTGCTACAGTTACCACAGGATTTATTATTATTATGGTTCATCGTACCATAAGCCAGATTGTTAGAACTGCCACCTCATGCCTGGGCTTTGATATAGCTCGATGCCAGTCTGCCATGAACCCTGGGTGAGGGAGTTGGACGGGAGAAGAGAAGGTTCACTACTCACCATACCTTCTAGAGACACAATTTCAAGGTCAGATGACTGGGAATGGCATGGAGCTGCATACTGGCCAGCCCACAGTTGAAGAAACCATTCCCAAAACACCACATTCGAATATGGACAATGGGCCAGCAGTGGGAAGCGCCCAGTGGGTGGGTGTTACACTTGGGGATTTTGGAATTCAAATTTCAATTCTAGCTTTATTCTACTATACCTTTCTCACTAAATGGAGTCAAGCATCATTCTTACTTAAAGGTTCAAGTTGACATAGATGTTTAGACTGGCATTGGCATTTTTATCTACCTATCAAGTCCTTCCCAAGAACCTGGGATATAAGAAGTCGTCCTTGACGTATGATTACAATCGAACCCAAAATTTCTGTTGTTAAGCAAGACAAGTAAGTGAGCTTTGCTCCATTTTACAACCTTTCTTGCCACAGTTGTTAAGTGAATCACTGCAATTGTTCGGTTAGTAATACGGTTGTTAAGAGAGCACCAAAAGCTCCACAGTTCAACCCTGAGCCACATACCGTATATTATCTTCCATTTTTGGTATCTCTTTGCTTTTATCTTTGCTGCTCATCTGGATATCATAATCCAGATATGGCAACCTTAATGGTGTAGCAGCTCTCTCACTTGCTTCCCCTTCCTTCAGTGCTACTCCCCTACAAGGGGCTCATGGAACCAGGTTTGTGTGCTTGCTTGTTTGAAAAACTGGAGGCCTGCTATAAAGAGAAATTAAGGGGGAACCCAAGGACCCTTGTTTCCACAGCTCCAAAGAAACGACTTTTGCCTTCAATATTTGTATGACCCTCTGTTCCCATTACTATACAGTACTATCATTTTTAGTACCAATAGAGAAAGGGCTAATGATGTAACTAATGCTTAACAATATTCTTTTGTACAAGGACTTAAGGCATGCTAGACCTTTCCTGGACAAAGTATTCAGGGATTCAGTATTGCCCAAATGCTGAGTTTTTTACCCAGCTAGAGTGAGTATGTAATGCCAGACTCACTGCTCAGAAGATTTGTCTGGGGTAATGGTTAAATAACTTACGTGAAAGAACGCCATTCGGGTTTCTATTAGCAATACCCCATATTTCTCACTGTTGTCTTCTGTATTTAGAAGCTGGCATCCATAACTAAAACTACTAACTCAAAATGTTTCACAAAACCAACTCTGAGTATACCCTAATGGAGACGACTAACCAATTGCTGACACCACAGTGAAGTTTTGTGAGACATATTCAATCTTCTGATGATCTTTCCACTCCTTTGGCCAATATCATATATCACCCAAGGCCCCAAAGACATACATACATGCTACTTAGCATTCAGAGTAGAAAATCTTTCTATCCTCCTCGTATTAACTGTTTCTTTCTTCTTGCCAATAAATACAAGTCATCTAGTAAAGAATGAATTTGCTCTTAGATTTTCTTTTCAAAAATCTACTCTGGAATTGTTACTGCCTAAGTCCGTTCACAAAAGTTTTCTTGAGATAGCCAATCCCAAGATGCCATCATGCCATCAACAACATGAGCTCATGTTCCAAAGATATATGCTGTCATTTTCTAGCAAAGCCATGCTGTCTTTTCAGAAGCCAAATAAAATAATCCATAGATTTAAAAAATTCCTTACTAAAACAATATCACTATAGACTTAATAGGCTTATTGGG